GTCAATTCTGGAAATATTCCCTCCCTCCTCATCCCCTCCAGATTGAGCTTTCCCTTATAACAAAGAAAAACACGCAGAAATATCCATCCCAGTGACCATGCCTGGCAATATATACAACATATACAAAACAATTCACAATCCCCCAAATCCTTCTCCCCACCTCATTTCCCAAGTTCACAATTTTGAAGTCATCTTCAACTCACCACTCTCACCCCCCTCACCCCATCATATTTGATCAATTGCCAATCTTGTCAAGTCTACCCCCACAGTTTCACTCATGTCCAAATCCTTCTTTCCATCCACACTGCTATCACTCTAATTCAGACCCTTATTACCTCTGGCCTAGATGACTTCAATAGCTTCTTAATTGGCCTGTCTACTTTTAGGAAGACCAACAGTCCCCTACTCAAGCCATCTTCCACAGAGCTTCCTTGCACATGGAACTCTGGTGGCTGACTAACTCTTACCTCTGGCATAAACCCATTTTTTTCAGGCTGATTACACACTGTTCTCCTTCCTGCATTTTATGTTCCAGCCAAGTTGGTCTATTTGCTATCCCCTCACTCCCACCCTCCTGCATATTAAAATTCCATCTTCTGTCTTTGCATAGGCTGTCTCCACATGCCTCTCTGCCAAACAGAGTGCCTAGCTTTCTTCAAAACTCCACTTTATTGTTGAGTCATGTCCTACTCTTCATATACCCATTTTGGGATTTTCTTGGCAAAAATACTGCAGTGGTTTGCCATTTCCATCTCCAGCTCATTTTACAGTTGAGGAAACTGAGGCAAACAGGCTTAAGTGACTTACCCAGGGTCACACAACTAGTAAGTGTCTGAGGCTGGATTTGAACTCAGGTCTTCCTGACTACAGTCCTGCCACCCTTTCCACTACACCACCTAGCTGCCCCAAACTCAGCTTAAGTATAATTTCTACCAAAAGCCTTTCCTGATCTCCCCATTTCCTAGCACTCCCTCGCATGTACATATTTTGCATTTACTTTTTCACATAGATGTTGTTTCTCCTGAACAGAATATAAGTTCATTGAGATCAGACATTGGTTCCTTTTTTTATTATTATTATTATTATTCCCAGCACTTAGCATAGTGACTAGCACATTAGCAGGTGCTTAATAAATGCTTGTTGAGTGAATGAATAAACATTCTACCCTAGTATTTGCCTGCCTCCCTGTCAAGAGGACCATTATTGATTTTTCAGTTACTCAGAATTCAGCCTCCTTTTAGGGATTTTTTTTTGTTTACATTTAGATCAGCAGTTATTAAGCACCTATCCCATGCAGTACCCTGCAATGTGTTGGGGAGACTCAAAGATAAAGGGGTTCCTGGAAGAGCTAAGTGGGACATGTACACATTTGTTTACAGAGCACTATGACTAGGCACTGACATTTTCAGGAAAGAAGTAGGTAGGAGGAACCCTGAGAATTGGCACAGTGTGTTTATTGTGAGAAGCCCTAGATTTGGAATGAGAAGAGCTGGGTTTTGAATTCCTTTTCTGGGTCTGTTTCCCTGACTTCCCTTCCAGCTCTAAATTCTGTGAGTTTATGAGTCCATGGGGGCACTTTAAATCAAACATATAATAAAGTATACAAAGCTACATACAAACCGAGACTACAAGACTGGGAGCATGAAAAGGGAAGTATTGATCAAAATGAGCGGGGTCAGGCTTACTCATGGTAGATATGTTGGAAGAATTTAAGCTAGATTTTGCAGGAAGTTGGGGCAGAAAGATAAGGATATCTAGAACCAGAAAAGGTAAGTTGTTTCTAGGAAACCTTCCTGGACTGATCAGATGATTGCTGCTGATACCCTCTCCCTGATCCAACCCCATTTGGACCTGGAAGTCACACAACTATCCCCGTGGCATACCTCCTGTTCTCTTTCCTAATGATGGATTCACCCTTACCTCTACCTCATTGTACTTCATCTGATGTGGATTTGCTATTAATATTTTACTGCCTATGTATTGGTGGGCCACTACTTTTATTTTAAATGTTTGAGTCATTCATTCATTCATTCATTCAGTTTTAAAACAAATATTGATTAAAGCACTTTAGGCAGAAATATCCCATGAAGGTTCTATGTTTATGTCCTCTCCTTCTATAATCGCCCTTGCCTTAGATCATATCAATCATAATAGTGTGAATTCTCAGAAGATGAAAACATCATTTGGGTACTTCTCCTTAAACAATTCCTAGCCCAGTACCACTTATAGACATTTACTAAAGGCTTTGTATTGGTCATGAAGCAGTTATAATATAATAGTCGCAGCCTTTGTTTTTTAAGTTTAGTTGGGGAAAATGTGGGCATCAGTGAAGAGATGAAGAAAATAACAGAAGTCTATTTTATTCATTAAGCATGTACAAGATGAGGTTTGAGGAGGCTAGCAGATCAGAGGTGGAGAAGGAAGAGGTATCTCTCACACATTGTCCAATATCTCTATCTATATTCCTTTCTTAGCTCAGATTTCAGCCATTGATTCAGTTGATTTCTCATGAGTTCATTGTCTCTGTCAATGGTGGATTTTCTTTTGAAAATACTTGGTGATCTGAAAGAGTAAATACAGCTTCCAAAAAGGCCTTGGAGAGGTCCACTCAGAGAGAGCATGGTGTGCTTTAAAAAAAAAAAAAAAAAAAGGGAGCTCTCTGTTGCCCATCTGACCCTTTCTGACCAACCTCCCTGGGAGTCAAGTTCAAAGCTGCAATCCCATTTGGCCTGGACATGAAACCTAACCTGCATTCCTGCCAAATGCCGTGACTACAGCTTCTCCACCTTGTTGTTGACAGCAGCTTCCTGTGGTTACTGTGCTGACCAGTGATTCCCCAAGAATCAAAAGTAGGTGGGGAGCCTGAAGAAAAGGAGTGCGGCAAAGGGGTCTGATAAATGAAAGAGGAAGGAGTGGGGAGGAAGGTCGAAATGGAGTGGGAGGCATTGAGCACAAGACAATGGATGCTCTCCTACTCAGTTTTATCTTCTTCCTCTTGCTTATTCATTCACCCAATCTCTTTCCCACATGTCTCCTCTGGTTTCCTACCTACTAGAATTTTTTAATCTATAGATTTGTGCATTGATGACTACTTGTGCACAAGTCCATATGTAAACTATGATTCACCCTCTTATTTATCAGCCTTCAAATGTGGTACGCTTGCTACTGTTTATGACTCTGTCCATATGGGTGCGGCAGCAGAGCAAGAAATAAAGCATAACCTGCCATATGTGGGATGATTTGAGGAGCACCAAAAGGTTTCCTTGCCCTAAAAGACCTCCACTGCTTTGCCTCTGCCAGGCATTCTCTCATCATTGGGCATCACACTCCTTTGATCAGTAACATTCCTTCCCTGTTAAAATACAACTGCTACGTAGGGACAACATTAATTCAGTAGCACCCATTGACTCAGATTAGTTTATCAAATTAACTCAGTGAGAACCCAGTCTAGGGTTAGGTCGGAGGAAATGAGACACAGGGCAGGTTTTGATGGGAAAGTTGGGATACCTTATCGTCCTTCCTCTCCAAAGGTTGATCCAGGTGGGATACAAACCAAGTGCTTTAGTAGGGGTAAGGAGGTAGTGGGGAAGGGTTGTTGAGCAGTTGGAGATGCAGCTCTGAGGGTGGAGGAAGGGAGGTCAACAGCAGAGGAGGGAAGCATCATTTGTTGCACAATTTTTTTTAGAATGGCCTAATGAGGATTATATATGTGTATGAGTATATGGATATCTGAGATCACTGATTTGTGACACATACGATTGGGGTATGTGATGCCAGACTGGGACTCAGTCAAATGAAGATGTGATGGCTTATGTTTAAACAGCTTGGAGTTCTCAAAAAAAAAAAAGTGACATAAAAAGTTGGGGTTGAAAGAAGACCAGTTTTTCCATTGGGAAAACCAAAAGACCTCACAGAACCCAGGCTAGGAAAAGAGAAGCCATTGACCAACCTAAACCCTACTCTCTCCCCAGTATTTCCGAGCAGCTCCTTCTAGAAACAGCAAGGAAGCCAAAGCCCAAGAGATAGCAGAGGTCCCCCCCTCAGACATACTGGATTGTTTATAACCTCACTATGCTGTCTGGAGTATATAGAGGGTCAGCCAGGGAGTCAGATATAGCTGGGCTCATGGCCTGTCCCTGACACACACTAGCTGTGTGATCCTGGGCAAGTACCTTAATTTCTCACTCCTCAAGACAGCTCTCTAAGACAATTAGTGACAGCTAAGTTGCCAATGTGCTCTGCTGGAGGCAGTTTCCACACTATGATGAAATCACAGGTCCAGACTAGGTCTAGGCTATATCATCCTCCTTTGCCCAACACATCCTTCCCCTCCACCCAAGCTCTCTCTATCAGATGTGATTAAGCAAGTATGAAGGGTTAAAAAAAATTATATTGTGAATTGCATAAATGCTGAAGCCAATGGTTATATTTATGCCATTCTAAAGACCTAAAATAGGCACAGAGAAGACCTATTTCACATTCAAATGAATAAATGGTTGGCAAATGGAAACCAATGTCAACTCTATTCAGCATAATTGAATGAGTTATGAAAGGTTTAAAGAAAAATTTTTTTTTATGGAATTGCTGCATTCTGGCTCTTGTTCTTGGTCATGCTGACTGCTCTTAGCCCTCAAAACCCCCGAGTCTCACCTTGTTTTTAGGGATTTGAGGCATTTGTGGCAGGAGGAATGGGCATCTAATTCCACCATCCGAGGAAAATCTGGGTGCCCGCCAATCTGGGACCAGATGACACCAGCAGGGGTCTTCTTTTTCACTGGATAACTGGAGGTAGACAAATCAGTCTTCCAGATAGCCTCTATCTCATTCCCCCTTTCTCTAAGTGAGTAAGAGAGATGAAGTTAGAAGCAATACTCTTTGCTACCCTGGGTCTTGTTTCCTCTCCCAACCAAGGAGAGTCAGCCCCACTTGCCCTTCTCCACACCTATCCTTCCCCAACTCTACATCTATGATTGGAGAAGAAGAGATCCACTTATTTTTAACCAGGGTGGGTCTTGCTTAGGTCTCTGGGAAGGTTCAAGAAACAGGGACTGAATAGGAGGTAGGATGTGAACCCAGATACTATATTCCTGACTACATGGGAGCTGAGAGACCCTGAGATGGTCACACAATGGCCCAATGCTGTGTGGCAGTCAGGGGACCAGTTTTCTCTACCTAAGGGCTTACTTATAGAAGCCTCTTTTGGCATGTCTGCTTACAAAGTGGGGAGAATTGGATCATTTACATAAATGAATGAAAGGTGGATGCTAGGTGTTTGAACAGAAATGTTTGCAAATATGTCAACTGTTGATTCTAAAGTGGAGTGAAATCTGACATCCAGAGCATTCCTCTTTTACTCTGATAGCCTGAAATGTACTCAAGGTCATGCTCAGATCTCAAATCAAGACACCTACCCATATATACTCCCTTCTCAACCCTGATAGTCAGCAATTTGGAACCATTCTCAGTGGAGGTGAGAAGAAACCACTCACACATCAATGAGGGCTGACTTTTAGCCTCTATCTCCTGCATGGCTACTTATGGGACCAGAGAAAACCTTTGGTCCCCAAGACTTATTTCATCCCAGTGTCTCAATCTTCCAGTCTAACTGTCCTGGCAACAATGGTTCCACGTACCGAGCAATTTTCAGGACTTCAGGACACTCTTGATGCTGAGTCTTTGGGGACTGTTTGGGTTGCCATCCACCAGCCCTGGTAAAATAGATGTATTTTTTTGGTGCTCCTACTGTTGTTTTTTTCTGCTTCTCTGGGCTGGCTATGGGAACTGGAATGCTCAGGTTCAGGCCCCATTCCCTTCGGAGCTAAAGGAACAAGGCAGAGACAGGCTTTCAGGAGAGGGGAAGGGCAGAAAGTATAGCAACTTTCTCCTCAAGGGCGTTGACATTACTTAGGGTCTAGACATAAAAAGAATGGATATTAAGGTATTAAGATCTACGTGCAGTTGTAGACAGGGAAGCACAAGAATCAATAAATAATTGCCAAATATTGAGGGCCTACTATATGCCCAACACTGAGTTAGGTTTGTGGATATAGAGTAGGAGGGGGGACCCTTAGAGAACAATTCATGAGGCCCACTCCTCTAAACCAAGCCCCTTGGTTAATAATGTGGGGATAAATTGCGGAGTATTAAGGCTTGTACTTAGAGGTATGCTTCTATACCATGGTGTAATGTGATGTCAGCCCTTCTAAGGCAGAAGGTAAATTACTCAGAATTCAATCCAACCAGTACCTTTTTGAGTGCTGAGAACATGTGATCAGTACTGAGTTAGGTGCTATGGGAGATACAAGTGTTGTGCAGTAGACAAAGCACAGGCGAGCCAAATTGTGGGTTGGAGTCCTACTTTTATCACTAGCTGGGTCACCTTGAATGTGTAAGTCTATCTTAATGAATCTCAGTTTCATCAATTATAAAAAAGATGAAAATATTCATCCTTCCTATCTCACAAGATAGTTGTGAGAATCAAATAAGTTAATGATGTAAAGGGCTTTGTTTCCATAAAGTAGCACATAAATACAAGCCATTATAATAACAGAATTATACTACCTGTGCTCTGGATTTGAGGCCCCTTGAGTGGTGCTCTCCTTTTACCAAAAGAGATGCTACCCTGGATCTCCACTTCTTTCTAAAAAGCCAGGTCTTAAACTATTAAACTGGGGTTACTCACAAAGTAACACCCAAAATTTCCACGACCAATTAGTCTGCCTTACCTGCTTAGAAGGTCAGATTGTAGGACTCAAATTTGGCTTTGCCTTCAAGGCAACCTTTAGACCTGGCCAGGAAATAATCTTCCTTTGAGGGGAACAGTTAGTTGGGTAAAAATCTTGGAGGTTTCTCTGATAAATGTATCATTTTAAGATACACAAGGAGATGCTTCAAATTTATGATAAGGAGAGTCATTTCCCCACTAGACAGATAATCAAAGGATATGTGTAGGCAGTTGACAAAGAAGGAAATTCAAGCTATCAACACCCATATAAAAATGCTCCTAAAACTAATGATTTTAGAAACACAAATTAAAGTAACTCTGAGGTTCCACCTCATACCCATCATATTGGCAAAGATGATGAAAAAAGAAAATGGCAAACGTTGGAAGGGCTATGGGAAAAACATGTACATTAATATCCCGTTGGTGAAGTCAATAATTTGTCCAGCCACTCTAAAAAGCAATTTTGAACCATGTCCCCAAAGACATTAATTTGTGTATATGTACTCTTTGGGCTAGCAATACCACTACTAGGCTTATAGCCTCAAAGAGCTCAAAGGAAGAGGAAAAGAACTGCATATATATATATATTTGTATATACATTTGTAGCAGTTCTTTTGTGGTGGCAAAGAATTGTAACCTAAAAGAGTTCTCATAAATAGGGGAATCAATGAAAAAATATATGAATGTAATGAAATATTACTATTCTATAAGAAATGATAAAAGAGACTATTTCAGAGGAACCTGGAAAGGCCTGTATGAAATGATGTAGCATGAAGTAATAAGAATCAGGAGGAAAAAAAATTATACAATTACAACATTATAAAGACAAATAGCTTCGAGAGACTTGAGAATCCTAATCAATTCAGTGACCAACCATGACTCCAGAGTACCAATAATAAAGCATGCCATTCACCTCCTGACAGAGAGGCAAGTGACTCAAGATACAGAATGAGACACATTTTTTAACGCGGCCAATGTGGGACTTTGTTTTGCTTGATGATTTGTTGCAATGGTTTTGCTTTTCTTTTTTTTTTCAATGAAGATAGGGCAGTGGGAAGCAAAGGGGTAGAGTTCTTTCCGCCATTCCCAAAATGGGAAGAGAACAGAAGGAAGAGCAGAAGGAATCATGGACAAGCAGGATGGTTTGAAAGTTACACGTTGGGGCAGCTAGGTGGTACAGCGGATAGAGCTCTGGCTTTGGAGTCAGAAGGACCTGAGTTCAAATCTGGTCACAGACTCTTGACACTTAGTAGCTGTGTGACACTGGGCAAGTCACTTAACCCCAATTGCCTCACCAAAAAAAAAAAAAAGTTACATGTTGAAATTACTATATACTTTAAAAGAAAAGCAAAGAATACAAGTCACTCCCCAATTGATAAATGGTTAGAGGATATGAACAGGTAGTTTTCAGATGAAGAAATCAAAGCTATCTATAGTCATATAAAAATACTCTAAATTCCTATTGATTAGAAAAATGCAAATTAGAACAACTTTGAGGTACCACCTCACACCTATCAGATTGGCTAATATGACAGAAAAGGAAAATGATAAATGTCAGAATGGATGTGGAAAAATTGGGACACTAATGCACTATTGGTGGAGTTGTGAATTGACCCACCCGTTCTGGAGAGCAATTTGGAGCTATGTCCAAAAGGCTATAAAACTATAACTTTGATCCAGCAATACTACTACTAAGTCTATATCCCAAAGAGATCAAAGAAAAAGGGAAAAGATCTATATGTAAAATATTTATAGCAGTGGTGGCAAAGAATTGGAATTTGAGAAGATACTCATTAATTGAGAAATGACTAAACAAGTTGTGGTATATAATTGTGATGGAATACTATTGTGCTACAAGAAATGATGAGAAGGATGGTTTCAGAAACACCTAGGCATACTTACATGAACTGATGCAAAGTGAAATGAGCAGAACCAAGAGAACATTGTACACAAAAACAGCAATATCATATGATGATCAACTGTGGATGACTTAGCTTTCTTAGCAATACAATGATCCAAGACAATTTTGAAGGATGTATGATGAAAAATGTTATCCACATCCAGAGAAAGAACTGATAGAGTCTGAATGAAGATGGAATCATACTTTTTTTTAACTTTATTTTTCTTGTTTTGTTTTGTTTGGTCTGTTTTCTTTTGCAACATGGATAATATGTTTTGTATGACTTCACATGTATAATCTATATCAAATCGCTTGCCTTCTCAAGGCCAGGGAAGGAGGGGTAAGGAAGGGAGAGAATTTGGACTCAAAAAAAATTTTTAATGAATGTTAAAATTTTGTTTACATGTAATTGAGAAATATTTATATGAAATAAAAAATGTTGGGGGTGAAAAAGAAAAGCGACTTCTGGGAGCCAAGATGGTGGAGTAAGTCAGGAAATCACCTGAACTCTACCAAATTCACCTCTGAACAACTATAAAATAGTGCCTCAAAGTAAATTCTGGAACAGCATAACCAACAGAAAGATGGGTTGAAACCATTTTCCAGTCCAAGACAACTTGGAAGGTAGGCAGGAAAGATCTGTCTCATTCAGGTAAAAGGGGAATGCAGTCCAGAGCAGGCAGTGTCCAGGCAAGCCAGCAGCAGGCCATGCCCCAGCATAAGAGTGGGAGGCTCTGAGCCCCTACTCAGGTCAGTGACTGAGACCCTATGGCCCCAGTGCAGCCAACCCCCTCATGCAGCTTCAATGCAACACCAGGCCTCCTATAGGCCTTGACACAGCAACAGGCAAGTAGCCAGGCTCCCTGAGGCCCCAGTGTAGCACCAGGTCCACTGCAGGCCCCGACACAGCAGCAGGTGAGTGGTCAGGCCATATTGAGGACTCCAGAGCATTACCAGGTGAATGGTCAGGCCTCCCGTGGCCCAACACAACACCAGGTCCCCCATGGCTCCAATGCAGCACCAGGCCCCTGTGGGTCCCAACACAGCACCAGGTGAGTGGCCAGGCACCCCATGACACCTACACAACACCAAGTAAGTAGCCAGGGCCTGCAGCTTCTGACACAAGAAGCTTGGGACAGTGCCCCCTCCACCTCAGGAGCAACTTTAAAAGTAACAAAATAGGCTAGAAAAAATGAGCAAAAAATAAAAAATGAAACTGATCATAGAAAGTTATTATGATGACAGGGCAAATGAAAACACACACTCAGATAACAATGTCAAAACGCCTACATACAAAGCCTCAAAGATAAATGTGAATTGACCTCAGGCCCAAAAAGAACTCCTGGAAGAGCTCAAAAAAGGAGTTTAAAAATCAAATAAGAGAGGTAGAAGAAAAAATTGGGAAAAGAAATGAGAGTGATGCAAGAGAATCATGAAAAGGAGTCAACAGCTTGACAAAGGAAGAACAAATAAAGGGAGAAGGTGCACAAAATTTTTACTGAAGAAAACAACTCCTTAAAAAGTAGAACTGGCCAAATGGAAAAGGAGTTAAAAAGGCTAACTGAAGAAAATAGCTTCTTAAAAATTAGAATTAGACAAGTAGAAGCTAATGACTTCATGACATATCAAGAATCAATTAAACAAAATCAAAAGAATGAAAAAATAGAAGAAAATGTAAAATATCTCATTGGAAAAATAACTGACCTGGAAAGTAGACCCAGGAGAGATAATTTAGAAATTATTGGACTACCCGAAAGTGATGCTTAAAAAAAAAAGACCTGATCATCATACTTCAAGAAATTATCAAGGAAAAATGCCTTGATAGCCTAGAACTAGAGGGTAAAATAGACATTGAAATAACCCACCTCCTGAAAAAGATCCCAAAATGAAAACTCCCAGGAAAATTATATCCAAATTCCAGAACTCCCAGGTCAAGGAGAAAATATTGCCAGCAGCCAGAAAGAAACAGTTCAAATATCCTAGAGCCACAGTCAAGATTATATAGGATTTAGCAGCTTCTACATTAAAGAATCAGAGGACATGGAATATGATATTCCAGAAGGCAAAGAACCCCTAGGATTCAACCAAGAATCACCTACCCAGTGAAACTCAGCATAATCCATCAGGGGGAAAAATAGTAATTCAATGAAACAGAAGACTTTCAAGCATTCCTGATGAAAAGACCAGAAGTGAA